CCCAGAGCTCCTCCGCTCTCAGAACAAAGCAGCGGGCCTGCAGGTGGCGAGGTCTGGAGAAACAGAAAAGGAAGGCTTGTCCTGCCAGCCCCATTGCCGTGTCCCCCTGGACATGGCCAAATCCTGCTTTACAGAAGATCCTCCTTTTCCCTGGAAAACTGGTCATGCGGAGTCTGCACGGAAACCTACTTTCTCGATGTGTCCTCTGTGGAGAGCGGTAATTCCCAGGGATCCGAACAATCAGGCCAGAGTCCCTAGAAGCCATGGGTCCAACCAACGTGTCTCAAGTTAGTGGCATCATGGGGCAGGGAGGCTGCGATGGCAGCCGGGGAGCCAAGCCCATTCTGGTGGTATTTTAAGGACAAAGCAGGAGTCCAGGCTGAGCAGCGCTTCCTCTCCCCCATGCACTGTGTGCCGAACGGGACCCTGGGCTGGAATGACGTCTCGGGGGCAGGACACAGAGCTCTGGGCCAGGCTGAGGGCCGGGACCTCAAGCTTCCACCCAGGCTGGCTCCAGTGAACCTTGGCCACCTCTTCCTCTTTGGGCCTCAGTTTCCCCAAAGTGAGCACCTCGGATAAGGTGATTCTAAGGATGGGCGAGCAAAGGTCATTCCTTCCCACTGTGTCAAGCAGGCCTCCCTCCAGCCACTTCCCAGCACTCAGCGTTTCTGTAGCTCATTACTGACCTGCTGATTAGTTTGCTGCCTGTCTCCCCACTGCACTGCAGACTCCACCTGGAGAAGGACCCTGTCTGCCGTCTCCCCCGCCTCCATTCCTCAGCACCCAGGGGCAGAGTGGTGACACGTGGGGCAGACTCTTGGTGGGAGGCTGTTACTGGGTGGCAAAGGCGGTACCAATGGGAGGGAGCTCACGCACAGTCTCACCTGAAGGTACCAAGAGTCTGGGGCACCCTCAGCCTCATGCCCAGGGCAGGGCAGGAGGCTCCCAGCCTCGCTGGGGTAAGGCAGATGGAAGACTGCCCCAGGGCCCAGGCACAGAGATGAGGATTGCTCATGAGGTTCTAATGAACTCCTTTCTGCGTTTTAGCTGCACATGTGTGTGTGTGTATGTGTGTGTGTGAGTGTGTGTGTGTGTAAGAGAGTGTGTGTGTGTGTGTGTGAGAGTGTGTGTGTGTGAGTGTGTGTGTGTGTGTGAGTGTGTGTGTGTGTGTGAGTGTGCATGTGAGAGTGTGTGTGTATGTGTGTGTGTTTGTGTGTGTGTGAGTGTGTGTGTATGTATGTGTGTGTGTGAGTTTGTGTGTGTGAGAGTGTGTATGTGTGTGTGTGTGAGTGTGTATGTGTGTGTGTGTGAGTGTGTGTGTTTGTGTGTGTGTGAGAGTGTGTGTGTCTGAGTGTGTGTGAGTGTGCATGTGAGAGTGTGTGTGTGTGTGTGTGTGTGTGTGTGTGTGTGTGGTTTATCTGGTTATTTTCTCATGATGAATAAAGCTTGACCTAATGTGGTGTGTTTTTTTTGTCTTTTTTTTCTGGACTAACTCATCTTCATGTCAGCCTATCTTCATTCATTTTTAGGCAATTATAGTCTTAGAGGTAATATAAATGTCCACTTACAGAATGCCAGCAGTCTCTCAGGAATTTTCACCCGAGATGGTGCCCAGTCTCAGCTACAGTGTGTCCTTCCTGAACCGCCCCTCCCCTGGCAGCAGAGCTCCCAGGTGGGCGGTGCTGCGTCACCCAGCACCAGATTCAGTGAGTTGGGCTACAACTACCTCCTACAGCTTTAAGAGAGGGGGCAATTGTCTCCACACAGAGATGAGATTTCCCGGGCTAGACTGTCACGTGGATTCTGCCAGGGCCTCTGTGTGTCTCCAGATGCAGGGCATGGATTCTGGGACCAGACCCGGGAGAAGGGAGGACCCCTGTGAGATTCCATGATGGGCCCTGCCGCAAGGTCAAGATCAGAATCAAACTTCTTTCCAAACACAGACTATGGGGCCCAGCTTCAGTCCCAGGAATGGGGGCACAAGCCAGGGCCATATTCCATGGGTCTAAGGCCCCTGGGTAGGGTATCTCTGACACCAGGCCTCCACAGAAGGCAGGAGGGGAGAGAGGGGCCCACGGGCTAGCTGGGGGAAAGGGGACTTGTGCACAACCTACAGTACAGGCCCGTCCACATCCCACCTCCCTCATGCCTGGGCTGAGGGTCGAGCTGTGGCAGACGCTAATGGTTTATGTTCAGTGCTCCCTTGCTCCCCTGTGCCCCAACCCTCTGTGATGGGCTGCAGCCCCAGCCAGGACCGTTCATGCCCTATCCTTAACCAAGTTTCTCCTATGCAGTGTCTTAGGGAGCAGGGGGAGGGGCAGGCTTTCCCTGGGTGCCCTCTGGGGTTTGCAAATCCTCTCCAGGTGCACACTCCCTGGCCTCTAGTAACCCTTCCAACCCTACCTCCCTCACCCTGCTACAAAGAGAGCTTGGCCTCCTCTCTGCTCCCTCCCCAGTCCCCGTCCCCTACTGTCTCCATACCTGCACAGGCAGGCCTGTGGGGCAGCTCTGGGCTGCTACGAGACTTCCAGGATGAAGGCTCTTCTACTCAGGGCCTCAGGATGGTGAGCAGAGCGCTTCACAGTGTAGACCTCAGCCTCCTGGCTGCCCCGGGGAACAGACCATCCGTTTCCTGGATGGGGACGGTGAAACGGCAATAGGTGGGCCCACGGTGCCGGACCTGGCCCGTCCCGGCCAGGCTGAGCCGGGAAGCCCCGTGGCGAGGCCCGGGGTGGAGAGTGGGGCTGGGGTCCTTTTCCAAGGCCAGCTCTGCTCTTGGGGGCTTTCAAAGCCCGGCTGCCTGACTTCGAGTCTATCTCATTGTGAGTGAATTAATTGTTGTGCAACCTAGAGTGGTGAGACAAGTTAATTACATAATTACGACAAAATGACATGTTACTTCATGGCTGCAATATGGTAGCTCTGTTGGAAACGATCGTAATTGCCCAGAAACTGCATTCGAGTGGCTCCGTTCTCTCTCGATAACCATGTAATTAACTTGTGTTACAACTTTATCTGCAGCAAACTCCGAAGTTAGTAGTTGGGAGCCTTGGGGTGGGCCTGGCCACCTGAGACCTAAGGGCCCGGGGAGGGTCTGGCGTTGGGGCCTCTACTACGATCCAGGAAGAGAACTTGCCTTTTCACGTCGAGCAGGGAAAACTCCTTATTCAGGACTCCAGCCCTCACACTCACCCACCGTCTCCTCCAGACCGCTCCCCAGTTTCACCAGCCTCACGGCACATAATAGTCACAGCAGCCAGGCTGCCTGGCTCTCGGCCCTCTTCTCCCTCTCACCCACGGATGCAGCTCCTTCACAGGAGGGGGAGCCGCCAAAGCTGAAAACTCCCACCCCCAAGATCTCCAGCCCCAGCAATCTCTTCCCGTGGAGTAGGCCACAGGCCACAAAACTACAACTTAAGAGACCTAGCCCGGTGGTTGGCAAACTGCGGCTCGTGAGCCACATGCTGATCTTTGTCCCCTTGAGTGTGGCTCTTCCACAAAATACCTCGGCCTGGGGGAGTCTATTTTGAAGAAGTGGCGTTAGAAGAAGTTGAAGTTTAAAAATCTTGGCTCTCAAAAGAAATTTCAATCGTTGTACTGCTGATATTTGGCTCTGTGGACTAAGGAGTTTGCCGACCACTGATCTAGCCCACCAGAGCCTGGAGGCCCAGGTGACAGGAGGGTGAAGTCAGGGTGACAGGAGGCCCAGGCCCGACCACCCCAGCCGCCGGTTCCCTGCCCAGGGCCAGGCCGTTGAAGCAGTGGGCCGGCTCCATCAGCCCTGGGCTCTGTTCTGTGGCCAGGATAAAAAATAGTCCCTCGGGAAGGACAGCAAGTGGCCTGATGGTGGGGTAGCTGGTCCCTATAGCCTTCCTTGTCAGGTTGGACCCCAGAAGCCCCCCCCCCCCTCCCTTAAATACTGTTCCGGGATACCTTTTCAGTTTTAGGCTCTGTGCTGGGTGCCGTGGCTGCATCCAAGACAAGACAGCATGCCTGTTGCCCTGGGTGAGCCTGGCTCAGCAGGTGGACAGAAAACACTCCGGGTGTCTGCCTGCCAGGCTATCGTCTGGCCTGAGTTCAGTGCCTGCCAGCTTACCGGGCTGTCCCGGCCTATCTCTGCCTACGCACCCGCCTCTTATGTGTCCCTCCCTCCTGCCTGCCAGCACATGTATGGGACTGGGTGTCCGCTGGCCGATCCGGCCCTGACTCTCCGGAGCCGGCACCAGTGGTCCTGTGTGCACTGGAGGGAACTGGCCTGTCCCAGGTCCCCCTGCCGTGCTCATCCTCACCGCGCCACGCTCTGCTTGTTTTCCCGGCTTTCTCTCTCCTCTTCAAGGGCACGGACTGTGTCCGATTCGTGATTCATCCTCGGGTCTGGTGCTTAAGGCGCGGGGCTGAGACAGTGGATTAAGGTTTGCCGACTGAGTGAGCGAGAGCCTCCAGCTGCGTGGGCTGCATTACAGGGGAGCGGGACTGCTCTCAGTCACCCGGAAAAGCAGGGGGCTGGGCCCCACGTCAGGCCCAGCTGCAGGGAGGAGGCAGCAGACGCTGCCCATCACTCTGAAAGCAAAGAGGGGCTTCAAGGTGGTACTCCCACGGTAGGGGGCTCCGGATTGGGGTCCTCCTATGGAGGCGGTCAGAGCTAGGCTGCTCTCTGGGCAGAGAGAGGGGGGTCTCAGTGGATCGCTATAACAGAGGAGCCCAGGGAAGAAAGGGTCCCATCTTGCCCCTCTTCATCTTGGGGGTCTGCTCAGAATCAGGGTGCATGCTCTGCCAGGGGAAGGGGGCACCCCAGTTCCCAGCTCTGGGGTGCTTGGGGTTGCTTCCTCCCTCCAGCTTCTTCCTCCTAAAGCCCACCTGGAGAACCCAATGCCCTGCTCCATGTCCCTCCCCCTCAAAGAGCCCAGGGAAGCCCCTCCCCCTCCCATGCCACCACTACTCTCAAGCAGCGGGGCGGGGTCCCAGGTCTGTGTCAGTCATGTGATCAACGCAGAGCAACCTCCCCGGAAACATTCATAAGTTTAATCCACGCCAGTAATAAAACCGCATTACATTTCTCATAAAATAAATGTTCCCATTTATATACAGAAGACAGACTGTACAGGCCCAGCCTGGCCCCGGGAGGGGTCACACACAGACGGGAGGGCCGTCCTTCCTGCGGAGGACGAAGGCATTCTAATCGGTGGGAGAGCGGTTGGCTGGCCGGCCGGGCAGTGGGCAGGCGGGCGGACGGACAGACAGACGGGCCGGAGGCCAGGCGCCGGGCATTACTGAACCTGTGAGTCAAAGGTGCCATTGAGCTGCCCCTCCTCATAGTCCATCTGACACAAGATCATGTTGTTCTTCAGGAAGAATTTGTCTCCCACACAAAATCTGGAAAAAATCCAAGCAGGAGAGAGAGGACATGTAGTCACAGGGTGGGAACACACACACATGTGATGACAGGGCTTAGGCATATATAAAACGCATATGTACACGCATACTCAGGACAGCGTGCACATGCAGCCACACGCACACACGGGACCACATGTGCATGCAGGCCTCCACAGCGTCTGGTCTGTTCCGGCAGGAGTCACCTGGGGCCTAGCGCGCGTGTTGGGTTTTCTACCCAGAGGGTGGCGGGGGGCCCCCAGGCAGAACTCAGGAGGGCTCTAGCCGCATGGAACCCAGCTTGGCTGGAGGTGGACCGTGGGACAGGAGGTCCGGGGCGGCTTGCTTCTGAACTTTCCAGAGGGCACACCCAGAAGTCCCTGGGTTAACCCAGCCCTCTGCCAGGCCCTGCAGCCTGGGGTGTGGGACGGACAGACAGACAAGCCTGGGCCACGGGCCTTCCAGTCAGAGCCCCCATGGAGGGCTGGGTGAATGGGAAGGGATAGGAATAAGCTAACCCTGTCCCAGAATGGGAGGAAGAGAGAAAAGAACAGAGAAACAGGAAAAGACCCAGAGAGGACCGAGGTCGAGATGGAAAGGAAAAGAGGTAAAATGGCTGATTTTCCCATCCCTCTGTCCCCTCCCCAATTTAAGAGGATGGTCAGTGAAAGGCGCTTTCTCTAAACAGAACCTGTGGGTTTCCTGAAGCATCTTTCCAGGGGGAGGTGACTCTGTTCCACCATCTCCCCTTCCAAGGAAGGCTCTGCTTTCCCCTCTCTTCATCCAGTCTCCGTAAGCACTGGGGGATTCAGCCTTCCCTCAAAGATGTCCCCAAGGTGGCTGAGCCTTCAGTGGGACCCCAGGGTTCCAGCAGATTCCAGTCTAAACACCAGGTGGCGCTGCAATGTCACCGAGCCCTCGAAGCAGCTGGTCTGGCAAAGCCCCAGCCCGGCCAGGGTTCCCTACAGGTCCCTCAGGACCTAGTCCTCTGGGAATATTGTATACGCTCCTTCCTGTCCTGGGGGCTCCCGAGAAAAGGGCCTCCTTCAGAGCCCCCCACAGGTCCCTGAGGTCCCCCACAGGGCTGAGGCCAAAGGACCAGAAAGGAGGCTGGCTAGAACCAGAATCAGAAGAGGCGTCCTCCAGGCCCTCCTGGGAACCCCTTCTCACTCAAACATACATGCACATGGCACACAATAAAGGCTCAGGGCACGTGTACAGAACCCTTGTACATGCACATTTAAAACGGGCCTTTTCCTGCACATGCCTACTCATCACGCACAGAGTACACACATGCCCCCATTTGTATAGGGACACCTAGAAACACATGCAGATGCCCACCCGGACATGGATATTTAAAACCACACATGCACATGGCACACTGTGCATACAACAGTAGGCCCACACATGCTCCCATCCACTACATTCACACAGAAAGAACAAAGAAACAGCAAAAGACCCAGAGAGGACAGAGGCAGAGATGGAAAGGAGAAAGGGGTTAAATGAAACATGCACACACATGTGACGGCAGGGCTTACACATATGTAAAACACGTGTGTACATGCATACTCAGGACAGCGTGCACATGCAGCTACATGCACACACGGGACCCACATGTGCACGCAGGTCTCTGCAGCTTCTGGTTTGTTCCAGCAAGAGTCACCTGGGCCCTAGCGAGAGTGTTGGGTTTTTCTACCCGCCTCCCACTCACCTCTGGTTGCAGAGCTGGCAGGCGAAGCAGTCGAGGTGGTACACATTGTCACGGGCCCGCATCACCATCTCGAAGGCTGGGATCAGCTTGCTGCAGGCAGCACAGTTTCCCGTGGTGCCGAACAGCCTGCAGAGGGAAGGGTGCAGATGCTCAGGAGCCAGCCAGGGAGCTGGGGAGAGGGTGGCAGGCGGGTTGCCTCCAACCATGGCCCCACCTGTCTCCCTAACTTTTACTAGCAGGTCAGGTTTCAGAGAAATTGGCCCATCAACTGAGGGATGGAGGTGTAGGGGCTCATCCCTGGGCTGGACTGGGCTAGCAAGGCCTCCTCCCAGGTCCCCACTGGGGTCCCTCAAACCCCTGGTATCACCAGAATACTGGGCTGGACCCCGAACAGGACTTTAGATTCACACAAGCCAGGAATTAGAAGTAGCCAGCCAATCATAGGCTGTGTGTCCCTCAGGCAGGACACCCAGTCTCCCTGAGCCTCATTTATTTCAACGGTTCAATAGGGACTGAAATACAACCTTCACAGACTGGTTGTGAAAACGTTTGCAAATGATCAGTTGCAACTCACCTATATAGTGTTTACTATATGCACCAGGCATTGGTCTAAGGCAGTGGTTCTCAACCTTCCTAATGTCGCGCCCCTTTAATACAGTTCCTCATGTTGTGGTGACCCCCAACCATAAAATTATTTTTGTTGCTACTTCATTACTGTAATTTTGCTACTATTAATGACTCTAATGTAAATATCTGTTTTCTGATGGTCTTAGGCGACCTTCCTAGTGGTTCTCAAGCTGCTGTAGAGCCTAAGACCATCGGAAAACACAGATATTCACATTACGATTCTTAACAGTAGCAAAATTACAGTTATGAAGTAGCAACGAAAATAATTTTATGGTTGGGGCTCACCACAACATAAGGAACTGTATTAAAGTGTCGCGGCATTAGGAAGGTTGAGAACCACTGCTCTAAGGGCTTTTCAAAGATCTACTCATTTAACCTTGACAGCAACCCTACAAGGTCTTTTTCGGCTACCAACTCAACTATGTGACATGCCTAAGTCCCTTTTCCTTTCCCTGGACCTCAGCTCATCCCTCTTTAAAAGGGGATGATAGACTAGATCAGTGTTTCCCCAACTTTTGACACATGTGTACCCCTTCTATAATTTTCGTAATGCTGAGTACCCCTCGTACTCATGAGAACGTAGAATTAGGTGCAGCTAAGCACGGCGCAGTGCATATCCCCACCAAACTCGGGTGCAACACATACCCCCACCAGACTCTTCCCATACCCCTGGGGGTACGCGTACCACACTTTGGGAAACACTGGACTATATTATCAAAGATGTTTCTACAATAGGACTGCTGTCAAAAGGAAGCTCTAAGGACCTGTGGCACAGTGCCACTTTGAGGCAGACAACCCTTCTCTTAGCTGCTGCCTGCAAAGCTCCGGGGACATTGAGTTCCACCATCCCAGGCCGACTAATTCTTAGCTGGATGTTTCAAGGGTCTGAGCCAGCCGGGCTTCTCTTAGCTTCTTTCCTGCACACTGGCAGAGAAAGCCCCCGTGAGGCAAGGGGCTGGAGGCAGGCGGGAGGCCCCTCTAATCCCTGATTTGTCCAACTCAAGCTCAGGCGTCTGCAGACGAGCGTGGCTCCATTATTCATCAGTCCGAGCTGCGTGGTGGCTCAGATTAAGGCAGACAAAGGCTGGGTCACAGCATCTGCCTGCCACGAGGGGCCATTCTTGCTACCAGTCCAAGAAGCAGGGGGGCAGGCTCTAGAAAACCATTTTTTTTTTTTCTGGGGCTGAAAAGCTCAAGGAATCCCCACCCCCAATCTGGCCCACTGGCCTACCTGGCCCCAAAGTCACTCCTTGGCCTCTGCCAGCACCCAGGAAAATACCTCCGGGCTCCAGGAGCTGGCAGGGCCCAGAATGCTCATGGGCGCTTCCGCTCTCTGACAAGCCTTGCCTACACTGTGGTCCATTCTCTCCAGGTCCTGCGGACTCATCAGACGGCCTGTCATCTCCTCTCCACCAGGTGATGTCCTAAACCTCCAGAGTTGGACACTGTCTCCAGGTCACTGGGGGGAGGGGGGATGAGTCCCAGGAGCATCCCTTCCTTAACCTCTCCTCCCAGCCTCAGCCTCTCTCTTCCAGCCCTGCCAGGGACACGGAGTCACAGGTCCTGGTTTATTGCATCACTTAAAAAACAAACTCCTGCAACAGGCAGGCGTAAAAGGGGAGGTACCAGCAGGTAGGTCTCAGGCTCTCTGGGGAAGCAGGGGAGCCCCCGCGGATAAGCCCACCCCTCACCACGTCCACACCTGAGCAGAGGGAGCCCCAAGAATCCCTTGCCCCGACCTATTAATTAACGAGATGGGCCTCTCTTCCCCACAAGGCCCAAGCCACCACCCAGAACCCGTGTGAGAGCCAAATGCAGCTGCTGGGTCTCAGCCAAGGCCCTTTCTCCGTGGCCTCCTTCCAGCCCTGCTGATGTCATAGCTGGCCTAAGGGGGAGGGGGTAATTGGGGGAGGCAGTCCTGGAGCACAGGATCCAGGCTGCCGGGGAGGGGGAGTTAGAGCTCTGATGAATGCAAAGCGGGAAGTTATTCTTTTCACCACGGAGGGGCAGACTGAGGCTGGGAGCTAGTTCAAGCCCAGGTCTTTCGGCAGCAGTCCTTCTCCCAGGGCCTAGCTGCCTGCCAGGCTCCCCACGCATCTGGGCGTCTAATCCCAGGGCCCTTCTGGGAAGGTGGGGAGAGCTGGGCCCTGGGGAGAGGCGGGAAGGAGGGCCCAGGGCTGTCAAGAGCTTTCCCCCCTGCTGCTGGGAGCCCCTCGGAGGCATCCCCTCGCAGATCCAGGGCCGGGACAGGGGGGGGATGTGGGGGGGGGGGAGAGGAAATGTCAGAAGCACCTGCCAAAGGCAGGGCAGGGACAGGCCGGTGCCCACGGGAAGCTCAGTTCAGGTGCCCGTGGTGACAGCTGCCTGCCTGGAACCTGGGCTGGCCCCTGAGCCCCAGGAGTCAAAGGCGTGGTGCTGCCACGGGGGCTCCACAGGCATGTGAGGGAGCAGGACAAGGGCAGGGGCGGGCAGTCCGGGATGAGCACACACTCAGGCTGTGCCCTCTGGGTCCCGGGTGCACAGCCAGGGGCTCCCCCAGCAGAAGGGCCCCGCGGCGGGGGTGGGAGGCGCCCACCTCAGGTAGTCTCGGCGGCACAGGATGAGGTTGGCCTTGGTGTAGAGGGTGGAGCCCACCTCGCCCAGGCGGCAGTCGCAGCAGGCGCACTTGAGGCAGTCCTCGTGCCAGTACTTGTCCAGGGCCTTCAGCAGGTAGCGGTCCTTGATCTTGCGGTTGCAGCCAGCGCAGCCCTTCTGCTTCCCCTTGGGCTGGACGGACAGCATCGGCACGCCTGCGGGTGGACAGACAGGAGACAGATGGACATGGGTGGGCCCTGCGGCTCTGTGCCCTCTCAGAGGGGGAGCCCGCTGCTTCTCTCCGCGCTGCCCCTCCAGGATGGGGTTCCCAGGAGCCCCCGCGTTCTCCCCAGCAACCCCCTCCCTGGCCTTGGGTCCTAGCCTTTGGGCCGCATGGCACAGTCTGTTCCCCTCCCCTGTGAAGGTCCGTCCGGAAGCTCCAGGCAGCACTGGAGAGCCCAGGTCTGCTCGCCACAGGGCACACACATGGCCCAAGGCCTGGCCCCTGAGTGGTTCTGCCCCCATGCCACCGCTGCCCCCACTGCAGCCTGATCTACAGGAAGCCGAAGCCCCCCTCGTGCAGCCACCATCCCGCTGGCTCTTCCTGCAGCCCCGAGGATGAAGCCTCATGGAGGGCATGGGGTCCACTAGGACCCCCAGCTCTTCCTGCCATCTCAAGACTTCCTCCCACAGCTTGTGCACTGACCCGTTTTAACCCCCAAAGCCAGCCTACAGCCTCTTGGCTTATTCATGCAGAACCACAGAGGCATCAACAATGTCAGGTGCCCTGTGACCGTCCTGGGAGGGAGCAGGACCCTGGAGCTCACGCAGGTGTGTGCAGGAAGCTCTCCTCGGCAATGCTCGCAGTTAGTCAGACTTCCTCCCTGCCCTGGCCCGAGGGAGGGGAGGCTCCCAGCCCCCGTATCCCTGCTCTTCCCACCAGGGTAAGGACCTTGGAACCACTGGCCCCCTCCCAGGGCCCACCGAGCTTCTCCACGTACAAGAAAATGCCAAGTGCGAGGGGCTGGGACCCAAGCCTGGCTTTCACCAGAGGAAGGTGAAGCAGAGCAGGCAGTGTGTGCGCCACTCACACCCCATGCACACGGGCACAGGGGTGACCACAGGGAGGGACCGCTGTGGGGATGGGAACACAGGTCAGGGGTCATCCGGGAGCTTGGGCGTCCACGTGGAGGCTTGAGTGTGGTGCAGACCAGGCTCGGTGGGGAGAGCAGGGAGTCTCAGGGTCCCGCCTGGGGGGCATGGAGGTGCCTGTGAGCACTCATGAAGGTGGTGGGGATGGGGTGTTCCCTCCCTGGCCAGGCTCAGGAGGATGGAGGGGTTGACTCTGGAGAGAACAGCCCCCCTCTCCCCCACCTGCCAGCTCTCCAACCAGCTCCTGCCCTCTGCCCTCTGCTCTTGGCCCCATGTTCGCCCTGCACTCTCCAGGGCTCTGGGTTCAAATTCTATCACCTGGCACCCCACCCCCACCCCAAAACACACACACACACACACACACACACACACACACACACACATACCCATACCCCCAGTCCATTGTCTGAGCTGCTTCCTTGGTGTGACCCTTCCTCAGGCTTCAGAGGAGAACCCAGCCTCCAAGGGGCCTCAGTCTCAAAACCCACAGGCAGGAGGTCAGACGGGCCTTCGGAGTGCTTCTGAGCTAACGGTCTCCTTCTATAGAAGAGGAAACTGAGGCTCAGGCAGCCCAAGGGGCTAGTGCAGGGCACCCTTCCCTCCTCCTGTGCTTCCTCAGCCTCACTGCCTCCTCAGATTTTTTTTTAATTTTTTTTTTTTTGAGAGGGGGTGGCCCTTGGGCCAAGGGTCAGCAGGCCAGGTAAGAGCAGGGAGGAGGTGTCACAGGCTGCCGTGGGCCTTCTCCTCCTGCCCTCTGCCCTCCGCCAGTCCCCGCCGGGCAGGGCTGTCTGTTGCTGGGAAGTTTGCTGCCTGATTTCCTTAGAGCAGCTCTAAGGGTTCACCGGCTGAGAGAGTGATGGGGCTCAGGACGACGCTGTCCCCGGCCTGCCTGTGTCTCTTCCGAGAGGCTTCAGCCCGGTCACCGCTCTGAGGAGCCCTGGAGGCCAGCTGGGGACCAGGCACCCCTGGGAACTAAGGCGGGCCTGAAGGGCTTCTTTCAAGGCCTGGCCTACGGGAGGAAGCAGGTGTGGCCACGTGGGGGAGGGGTTAAGAGGTGGGAAGGTCCGGGGGGCCTCTGGGAGGGATGATTTTTCTCCAGGGAGCACCCAACCAGCATGGCCACCGATTTGAAAAACATCAGGCCAGGCCTCCAGGACAGACGCTGAGGCTGATTTCCCCTGGCTTCCGTGCCCCCCCCCCCCCCCCCAGCAGCCAGAGCTTCCTCTGTGCTCTCCCTGGTGAGGGGGAGGCGGGGGTGAGGCCTGGTCTATCCATCCATCTCAGGGGGTGCACCTGGCTAAGTTATACCCCAGAATAATAGGGGATCTCTCTCAGCACTAGGAGCATCTGCCTCTCCATCTTCCTCTGGCTTGGATCCTGGACCAAATGCCTGGCCACTAAGCCGCAGGGCTGTGAGCTATAGCACTAGCCAGCAATTCCATCACCGGTGCAGGCTGGTACCTAGCGGACCCAGGGAGGCCAGAAGGAACAAGCTTCCCCAGGTCCCCCACCCACCTCCTACCTGTGCCCAGGCTGGGCCTGGCACACGGCAGGTTCTTGGTAAGGCTTGGGCACCCTGCTCTAGGGTGCTGAACTCTGCTTCCTGGGCCTTGACGTCTTAAGAAGCCGTGTGGTTTCTGCCAGAGGTCCACTGAGACAGAGCACCAGGGCCAGCCTGGTGGCGGAGGTCTCCGAACATCTGAACTTTCTCTGGCTGGAAAGGCGGAGGTCCTGGGAGAAGCCTGACCAGTCCCTCCCGTCTTCATGGAGCGCCCACACGGCGCTCTCTCTCACTGGGTTAGTCCGTAAGACCGGAAAACACTCCTAGAAAGGTAAGGAGACACTGAGGGGGCACCTATGGGTCCCTGCTCCCTAGAGGGTCCCGGCTCTCCCTGGGCACCCTGCCTCCCCAGCCCCCACCCAGCCTGCCAGCCGGCCCTGCAGACACCTCTCCCCCTCCCTCCCCTGCCTGGCTCTGGGAGCTGAGCCTCGGGCCATGCACTTTCCATTAAGGAGATAGCATCCCTTTGCTGAAGTCCATTTGGGATCCATTTTAGTGTTATCTAAAAATCAAATCTACATGGTAATCCTTTTAATGTACTCCTGACTTTAGAAAAAAACAGGTTTGCGCTCCTTCAGGAAAGGTTTTAAAGCATTACCCGGTAATTACTACTCACCCATGAAAACACCGATCTTTTACAATAGGCGATGTGTGTGCCTGCCCGCACACGCCCACACACGCGCAGACACACACACACAGGGGACCTGGCCAAACAGACCAGTCCACTCAGCCCCTGTGCTCCCCCCCTCAGATCTCGGGGTGCGGAGGGGACCTCTGTGGGGAGATTGGCCAAACCCTTACCCTGTCTCTACCCTGGGCGGGCGGGCTGCCGGGGGAAGGAGGCAGCCTCCCAGTCTGACTCATCCAGCTGCCAGACACTTACCCTCAGCTCTTTAATCTGGGAGAAAGCCAGACAGTCCAGGTGATCGGAGGGACTGCCAGAGGTCATTCAGCGCTTCCTCCCCCTCCCTCCCTCCAACCAGAAGGGCAGCCCTCCTCTTTGCATGGACTCCCCAGGTGGTCTGCCTTGATCCTGCCCACCAATCCCAGGCCAGCTGCCTTTCACATCCGGCAGGTGGACTTCTCCAAACTGCCAGGCCCCTTGGCTCCCGACCCCACCAAGGCCTGCAGCTTGGAGAGGAGGCTGAGTCTGGCTGGGGAGCACTCCTGCCCCCTCCTAGAGAGCTCCCCTCAGGCCCGTCCTCCTATCCAGAATGCCCACCCCACCTAGCCCCGGGTCACTTGGGGCCTGCCCTGTGGCTCCCCTGCCTGCAGCCATTGTGGCCACCACCGGCCGCTCCGCCTGGCATTCTCAGCCCCTGGGGCATGTCTTGAGGGGCGCGGTGGGATGTGCTCCCCGCAGGATCCTGGGTTAGCACCCCCTCCGTTTTGCAAATGGATCTGGTTTGCTTCCATCCTGGGGCCCTTACTCCGCTGCCACTGCTCCAGGAAGAAAGGCCTTGCCTGCCCACCCCACTCCGCCCCAAAGGGCAGAGTCAACCCAGGGGTTGAGGCCAAGAGCACAGGCCTTGAACTCGGAAGTCTACTTTCCAGTCTGGGGCCTGTCCTAAGCAGCTGGAGGGCCTGAAGCAAATCCCGTCCCCTCCCTAACTGGCACCTGTGGCACGGGGACAACCATCTCTTTACGCGCAGACTGCGGTGAGGGTAGAATAAGGCTCCGCACAGGGCCCGGCACTCAGAGGGGACAAACAGGAACCGACAGGCACGCCAGGCCGACCGCCGTCCCCGCTCTGCCGCTTGGTTTCTTTTCTCTACAACGTTTTGTCTTGATAGAATCACAAACTTTCAGAAAAGTTGCAAGAATAGAAAGAACTCCTGTATATCCTTCACCCAGATTCCCTAGATACACACATCTTTTTAAAAAAATATATATATTTTTTATTGATTTTTTTTACAGAGAGGAAGAGAGAGGGATAGAGAGGTAGAAACATTGATGAGAGAGAATCATCGATCAGCTGCCTCATGCACACCCCTTACTGGGGATGTGCCCGCAACCAAGGTACATGCCCTTGACTGGAATCGAACCTGGGACCTTTCAGTCCGCAGACCGACGCTCTACCATTGAGCCAAACCGGTTTCGGCGATACGCACATCTTGGCCATATTTATTCTCTATCTACCTACCTACCTACCGATCTGTAATATTCTTCCTGACTCATCTGAGTTGTTTTAAAGATGAAGCCCCTCTACCCTTTAACACTTTGGTCTGATTTCCTAACAGCCAGGGCCCTCTCCCCCACGAGCACAGTACGGTCATCAAAACCTCAGACATTATCACTGACATGATACTACTATCTAATCTACAGGTCTCATTCCAATTTCCCCAATGATTCCAAATAATGTCTTTTGTGGCAATCACATTCCGAATCATGCATCACATTCAGTTGTCAAGTTTACTCTACTTAAATCTGGAAGACTTCCTAAGCCTTTGTGCTTCCAGACACTGACATTTTTGGAATACAGACTAGCTTTTTACGGAACA